TGGCTTGTTTGCATTCAATGACGACTTTAACAAGTTCAAGACGCACCTGCGTGATTTCTTGATATCACTGAAGGAGTTCTCCGGTGATAACGCAGACTTGTATGCGGAAGAAAGGGAGCAAGCCTTGCGGGATGCTAAAGCCGCTGAACGAGACCGAGCAATGAGGGTAGGTGGTCTTTTGAAGCCATCCGAAATGGATCAAGAGGATGAGCTATGACTGGACAAGGAACTGCGTTCCGAAGTTGCGCTATCAACTGCCGATAACACAGCGCATGACAATGATCCCAGGTCTTTATCGGCAAGTGACTGGTTTGATGGCTGGTCATGTTATGGACTCTAAGTTTGAACTAATTGCCATTTAACGAACAAGAAATTATCAGTGCGTATTGGGTTTCTTTCATCATATGGTCCTCATGTAAAGTCAGTCTTGGTGCTTCCAGAGCGCAGCGCGATATTCGTCCGCTCCTTCCTTCGTGCCTTCCCTCAACAATCAATTTGCAGTGACAACATATTTGAAGCTTTCCACCCAACGGAATAAAAAAAAAAAGAGAGAAAGAAAGAAAGAAGGAAAAGATAAGAAAAGACCAGTGGCCTGTTTAAAGGTAGCCAGGCGCTGCGGTGACAAGGTCGTAGAAATTCCAAAAGGGAGCAAGAGGTAATGGAACATAGATATATTCTCTCGGAGGTGGCCATTCAACTACAAAGAGGTCATTCTACTTAAGGAGTAGTCTAGTAGTATCCAGAACAAAGAACAAGCATTCATTATTTTACCCATAAATTATTGTTGTGCAAGTAAACCCCAACGTCTATCAGTAGTAGTAGTTGAGCGCGTACCAGAAGCGAAAAGGCGGTGTGAGGCCGGCCTCTTGCTGTGATGCATCTCCGTCAGAAGCAAACCCCCATTTGCCTGAACGCTCTAATGGTCCAAGAGACATTTTAGCCCCCACGATAATAAACTCTGTTCCATAACAGCATCAGGACGCCTCTCCGGAGACGGAGTTGCGCCAAAATTGAATTTTATTACCATGTCTCGGACTCGCCAAATACCGTCTGAGCCAGCAAGTAGTTCTCAACTGGAACTGACAGAGGAGCATACCAACACTTCGTCAGCTATTCCAGGTCCAGCAACACTGAGGTTAAGAGCAGCAGATGAGCCTGCTGCTAACCGGCCCGGAATGAATGAGGGCACCTCCCGACGTATACGCTGGAGTGAAGATGTCATAGATAACGAAGGAATGGGGAAAAAGAGTTCCAAAGGTAATCCTTCCCTAGCCAGTGGGGTTTCCGAAACTGTGCTCACATATGGCAGTGTGCTGCATCTATCACAAAACCCGACCTATTGGCGATAGTAGCTCCGAGTCCGAATCCTCGGACTCCAGTACTTCTAATTCGGACACAGATAGCGACGGCGAAGCGGCCTGCCATAGAAGGACGGGACACCGCCCGCCTACAGGGCAGGGAGAAGACTATGCTTCTTCTGGTCAGAGGTCTCCATCGAACAGAGAAGGAAGAACCTGCCGATCAAGTCACCGAACGAGGAAAACGAAACGAAAACCAAGCCCAAATGCCTATGAGAAAATGCCAAAGACTACGAAGGGCCGTTAAAATATTCGAGATATTTCGCAGACTAACGCTGTGATTCATTCCCAGTATCCAGCAGTTAAGGTCTCCCACATTAGTGTTTGTTATATGCCATGAGAGGAATTATCTTACTCACATGCAATGCGATAACGACATCAATTGATACGCCCCATCAAATCTGCATTCTCAGTATCGTTCAAATGGAAACCCACACTGACTATCAAGGTCAGCCTTTTCTTACCTGTCCCCTGAGCGTCCTTGGATGGCACGGATGTCTCATAGTACTTCTTCTAGCATGATTTCTCAAGACGGGTTTGCCCAGGTTATCTATACAATACACGTAAATATTACTGGGTGGTTGAAGATGGTGCAGATCATCAGACTTATTCCAGAAGGCTTGCTGGAATCTGTACAGAACTAGAAAGCGAATAAAGGGAATGAATGGATGAGGGGACAATCAAAGAAAGAAGTGGTAATGCTGTGATCATAAAGGGTGAGCCGATTGTAGACTCCGTTTATCAACAACTATGAATGAAGTATATTTCACAGCATCATGCTTTTTCTTCTAGCCATAGCAGCCGCGGCACGTTGCCCGCGCTTAGTCCGCCCTGAATCGGCCAGCCTCGAAGTAGACAAGTCTGCTCCAGTACTCGCTTCTGGTTGCTGTGTAGAAAGGCTCGGTTTGACGAATTCTTCAAGGGATCTTGTCGAGTCTGAATTACCTGCACGGGCCTCTGATGGAGAGTCATCTCGGCTGTCTATGCCTATATAGCCGTTGTTTGCTGGTTGAAGTTCACCTTTTCTGGATGACTCGGGCTGCGAGGAATGCCGTCTAGAATTCCGAGCTATAGCAGGTCTGGCCTTGCACCCAATAGGGGGGACGTTCCTCGTAACATCATTACCAACCATCTGTGACGGCTGCGTCTGACAATTGCCATCTTCGGCCATTACTTCATCGACTTTACTACTCCCAGCCACCCAGTGATTAGGATATGCCCCTGTAGACTCGTAAATGCCTTCAGGTGCCATATCGCACTTGCTTGCCGGAAAAGCCTTCCGTTTCCTCTGAGATACCGAGTTCATTTGCTGGGTGGATGAATCTGCTGCTGCCTCTGTCGTCGATAATCTAGGTTCTTTGCCTGAAGAATCCGAGTTTCGCGGTCTTCGACCATTCGATCGCCCATTCTTGTGCAGGTCCTCATCCTCGTTCGAATCCAGCCGTGCATTGAGAGAGCTAGAGCTTCGTCTTGGGTGATCGCCAACTGCTGCTATCATTTCCTTCGTAGGTCGCCTCATCTTGTCTCGTAAATTTGGCTCCGCATAGCTCACAATGGCTCTCTGACGCCTGGAAGGCCTTGTTGGGCCGGACACCTCAGGCAAATTCCTTGGACCGCTCTCAGTTTCTGGAAGCGTCGACGACTGCATGTTGGGCTCGGATTTAACCATGGGATTTTCGTTAAATTTCTCTTCATCTGTGGACTGATAGATTCGACACTGTCCAGGCGTCAACTCTTGCCTCGACTGCTCGAGATCCGTGCTTTTTTCGGGGGGTATTTGGGACAACCCAACTTGCCCATCCTTTTCGTCAAAGGAGGACAATGTGCCCTTCTGGTGCTTCTCTTGCACCATTGTAGTATGTGCTTTCGTTGGGCTGGTCACATTTATGTTCGTGCTTCCTACATCATCATTAGCTGATCAAATCTCAGTATTGCGGTGGCACGGCACAGCACATACTATGCTCCAATGCTTTCCGTTTTGCCAACCTGTGACTCATTGCCTCTTCTGTCAAAAGCGATGCCTTCCCTCTCGAAGGGCTATCATCAGCCTCTGAAGACAGCGACTGCTCGTTGTTGCCCACCGATGAAGGTGACTGCATGCTTGTCCGTGGAACGTCGGATTTTCTCGATAACGATTCTATTGTGTCTTCATGATGCACCGAAAATTTGCGCTTGGCTCCTGGACCAAAGATAGCCCCAGGGATGTTTCGTTTCGAGGTTGCCCCCTGATCCATGCTAGGACTTTCCATTTGCTTTGATGCTAAGTTGGGCCTTTTCCTTTTTCTGGTTTCAAGAGTTGGGGGCAAAACTGCCTCGTCCTCGTCCGATATGTGCTCGCCGTGTCTTGGTGCCTGCTGCGCATTCATGATATCGGAAGAATCATTCGTAGAGGAGCTGTCGTCCGCTGTGTCTGGCTGCGTGGCTACAGGTTCTTCCGGAGTGGGAGATCGCAGATTATCGGCAGTGTTATATCGGATATCTTGCAGCTCTTGCGGCCTGTTAATGGTAAGCATTGAAGATTTAAGGCTCGGGGTTTCGTCTTTTCCTTACTCTAATGTTCTTCTGGGGTAATATTTGTCTTCCAGGATGACAGGAAGCCTTCCGTCTTCGTCTTTCCCATGATTGAGCTCATCATCAGCAGCCTTCGGTTTCCAATCCGGCAGTGCCCGATGTTGGCTCGAATCTCGAGGATTCTCTGCACATTTGCTGTAGAACGTGCGCGGTAGTGCGCCAAGGTCAGCCACCAGATTGTTCAGCTCCGCCAACTTGCTGTCTAGTCTCGTCTTGATGTCGTAAACACCATGCTGAAGTAGCCGGACGGCCTCGAATCTCTCTACCTCCTGGCTAAGACTTATTACTTGCTCCCGAAGCGAAACATTTTCTGAGAGGAGATGAGAGACTTCAGATTCCAGGCTGCGAATGCGGAGGGACTGTATCGAGTTTACTCGGGCGATCTCACGATTCTGTCGCACAAACCGTCGTTTTACTTATGTGGCGCTAGAGTCAGCTTCAGTGAATTCCCAGCGGGGAGGGGTTGCGGTGCTTACAGGCCTCTATGTGCTCTGTTGGAGCTGACGATTCATTTAAGCGAGCCATACCCGGCTTAAGGAGGCAAGACTGCGGTCAATTCCTCGGCAATCAATCACCCAGGGACCAGGTATATCAGAAGTAGCAAAGGCAGCCAGTATCCACACTTATTCCGTATTGTAGATAGTATCTCGCCTCCTTATCCGAATTAACCGGTGAGTAAACAAGAGTGGGTGGATGTGGCCCCGTGATAGTTGACAAACGCGGGTTGGTTGTTGACAAATGCCCTTATCGGGACTAGTGTGATTGCTGTCGGTCTGCGACCGCTCAAATGGTGCATCATAATAATGATTGAAGCTAGCCGCAATGAATCATTCACATATTGCCTTTCAGTTTATCATCTAGCCGCAGCTCCCTTTAAAAACCGACATTCTCTTGTAATACAGCTCTTCATTAAATCTACAAGCCACAACTGCATTCATACCAACTAGCGTGCAGTCTGTGCAGCCCGCGTCTTTCACTATTCACTATCCGTTAATATACCCCGCCTCTATTGACTTCAAAGAGGGTCAGACATCTACAAACCGCCGCCAGTAGCAACAAATCTTCTACATCATGGCATACATGTCTCGCACTGCTTCCATGCTCCCTCCCGGATCCTCGGCCACATCCTCGTTTCGTCAGCCAAACCAACAATCTACAACAATCTCACAGCAACAGTCTTCGGTCCTAGCATCCCGCATTGCAGCAAAAAGGGCTGAACTAGACAATCTGAGGCAGCTTCGTGATATGAGTGCAGCACTGGCCTCGCAGATGCAGGCTTTGCAGGACAAGCTTGGGACCCTCAAGGATGGCACAGAAGGTTTGTCAATTCAAAATATCATGGTGGAGTATGTCCTGATTGACTCTCGTGTTGGCTGTAGCTGTCGCGTGTGTCCTTGCAAACTGGGATAATGTACTGCGGGCAATCAGCATGGCCTCGAGTAAGTTTGCTCTCTGATGTAGATTTGCTCTCAGACGATGCTGATCAAATTTAAAGCGAAAGCCGCGAACTTGAACTTACCGATGGAACACACACCAGATTCAACTACCAAAAGACTACCGAATGGCTCACCTATGCCTGCTACTCTGGTACGGATCCCCGTTTCAAAGCAGGAAGAGCCTCCTAGCCAGTGAATCACTGTGTACAAGATATTGGCTCTTGGCTCGGGACATGCATATTTAGCATCCACAGACGTCCTTTGGCAGGTAACACAGTGCCTGTGGACGGGGTCAGACTCTCATTGGCTTAGCAGGTGAGCCGTTATTTGCATGGTCTAGTATAGCAACGGGGTCCACAGGAATATCATTTACAAGGAGGCCGGGATGCTGCCTACATGGAATCACAAACTACGCGCTGGACGTCGTGGATGTTCTTGGTCATCTCTGGCATTGTCTGAAGCGGCGGTATTGGATGCAGAGAGTTCCAGTTGTTTGTGGTAGCGGGCATCTGGCGCAGGATGGGGGGAAGGGGGTTGCTTTCTGGTTGCAAAATGAGCCTCTCCTGGGACTGTCGGAATATCGCGGGGGGGAACAGTACCTGAGGATAGGTTATTCTACCTAAAGGGGCAGTTGTCCGTCAGGTCTAATCCGTCGGTGGAAAGTTGGGGATAGCCAGCATATCAAGGGATGATACGGATATTTTTCTCGCATACTCCATGCCAGTTTATATTTCCGCCGTGACTGTTTCCTCTTCTGAGTGATAAGCAGGGGCTCTCTCCTTGACGGATAGGTAAGCACGGGTTACGGTCCAGGGAATTAGAAGGGCTTTGTCGATCAATCTGGCGCCAAATATGGCTTCCAGTGGGCTACTTACATCAACGCCCAGTAGTTTGCTGGGAATCGCGCATGCGTTGTCGAGCTCGATTTAATAAAAAGGAGTCACCCATCTGGTCTCAGCAGAAGACATGTCCGTTTCATCTCTCCGTGGGCCTACCGTAGAGACTGTTGTTGTGTTCAGCTCACATCTGGCATGATACGGGTTTGTTCATTAAAAGTGTGCGAAGGCAAACAACATCAATTTTATTTTGGAGGTTTTGATCTTGGGAATCCCGTTGATATCTTGATATCTCTTGTGTCCTTCGAATTATACCTACTCAGAGAACTTGAACCCGCGTGGTTATGATGGAATAACATATTACAATGGTGGTTTCCTGCTGTTGTTGGATTAAGTCATTGTACTTTGCAGTTTGGATACGGATTCCAGTGCGCTCTAAGAGGGGGGGATAAAAAAAGAAAAAGAAGAAAATTTTTGAGTAAAAAATGGAGCTGCGGGGAATCGAACCCCGGACCTCTCCCATGCTAAGGGAATATTATACCACTAAACCACAGCCCCATATTGGTTGTTTGCGGAATGTATCTAAGAACTAAATTCTCTTGTTTGATTTTAAGTGTACTCAATCATGTGCTGAGTGAGATGTTCGGGCTAAAGCAGGTACTGTGGGGTTGTGCTGCGGGTTATGTTTTAGTCGGTGCTTTGGCCCTCCGGAAGACATTCAATATATGCAGGTGTCACGAAGGATTGGAGCTGAACACATTCTTAAAGCTCTCATCGAAGTGTAGGACTCTTGCCACGGGCGACCATTGCTTTATTGCAGGCTCGATAAAAAAGATCCCGATGGCAGTCCCTTGTCTGCGATTACCAAGTGAGTCTACCAGCTTCCCAGCGTGTGAATAGCAATACTTGGTACTTGTGTCTATTCCTCTGCTAGGTTGACGTCTTGTCGTGATATCTGGAAATAGGGTAGTGTGGTCTAGGAATTTCTTCCTGCTTGGGGTTTTTTCTCGGTACCATGTATACTTTTCTCCCATTAAAAGGGGACAGGAGTATGATATGGTAGCTCGTATCGTCCACTGTTGATACACGTAGTAAATATATATTTCTACCATGAACTTGCCAGTACGTTGTCGCCGACCAAAAACCAATTTGATGTCACCCCAAACCAACACTCCCAGAACCCGCCCCCAGTGCGCGTCAGGAGTAGACGACCCGGTTACTGCAAACAAGCCAACCGCACGGCCATCCAATGGAGAGCCCGGACCTCAAGCCCAGGAGCTTGGGACGCGTATCATGTATAGGTTCATCTAGGCAGACAGACCTACTAGGTAGAGGTGCTCAAAGAGAGGTACCTGACTCTATCACGCACATAACACTGCCAGCCAGAACTAGGTGGTGTGAATGTATAAAGGAAATTGATAAGGTAGCTCTTGATTCCTGGCGGTTAATTGCTTGGATACCCAACTGGCGACTTCCCGGAAACCATAGGAAACCGTGGCAGGAGATTGTACCATAAGACTTCACCTGATTTATCACATACGTAATTAGGCAGTTGATGGATGTTACTGATTGCAACCGAGACCATCCACGTGTCTGGGGTTGGGCTAAGCTTTGGAAGTATATATATTGATATCAGTGATTACCGTGCGTACAGCGTTGGTGGACTATATAGCCTTTCTTTTGGCAAAGTACACTATAAAGGGGTTGTGGTTTAGTGGTATAATATTCCCTTAGCATGGGAGAGGTCCGGGGTTCGATTCCCCGCAACTCCATTTTTTGGTATTTCTGATTATATTTTTTGGTGTTCCGTAAGAATGCGGTATACGCGTTGAATGATGTATGCACCGAGCATATATATGAAATTATGGATAGATAGGATACAGCCCAGCTAAGGTATTAATGATGTCTTGCGATCATAATCATTGCAGCAAGCGTAACTTTCTGCACAAGAACAAAGTACGTGATATAAGTAAGATAAAACTCTGAGTATGTATAAGATGGGGCTGTGGTTTAGTGGTATAATATTCCCTTAGCATGGGAGAGGTCCGGGGTTCGATTCCCCGCAGCTCCATTTTTTGCCCATTTTCTTTTTTCCATACTCGTGAATCAATCGACAATGGGAATGTGACTCTCCATGTATAGTATAGACGCCTACACACGCCCTCTTGAGACTTCAACACTAGATGAAATTTTGCACGAAGGCACTGGGATACTGCTTCATAGACATCAAGCCCACACTCGTGTGTTTCAAAACATCCATTGAGGCTTGAGACCCATTAGATAGAAGTTGCTATTGGTGTCTTAATTGTATCTATCCATCGCCTGGCTCCAAGGTACAGTCCCTGGTCACCAGTATACAAAATTCTCAGGCCCGTATTGAATAGGCAACCTCTATACCCTGGCTATATTAGGACACAGCTTAACAATAGGATATCAATCAATACACTTGCTGCTTGGATGATTCAAATAGATCAGGACTGGTAAAATGAACACGACACCTTCATACTTAGCATTTCCATGCCATCTGATATACCCTTTAGATTTGCGATGTGATCGAAAGACATCGTGTTAGCTGGGGCCGGGGGAAAGGGGGTGACCAAGAGGTTGCGTCGCAGGACATTCCAGCTCGTTCTCACACGGGCAAACTACGGGGTGGTTTGGAATAAACTAAGTAGGTTCGACGCCTGCTGCTTGCCATGTGCAGAGCCCCTGTACGCAATGGGCGGGTAGGGCGGAGAAGGCAAGAAATGATGTTGTGTCTGCGATTGTATGGATTTGACTCCTTGCTGCCACGCCAAGATACCCTCTGTCGGCATACATATCCCATGTAGCCTACTGTTTACAGGCAAGACAGTATAGCTACTCCTATGTCTTGACATACGCGGGCCGGCTCATTGCTGGTGACAATCCCAGCAAGATCCTATGGGTGTATGTATATACGAGTGATATAATACCTTCCCATAACCAGTGAGTATCATCATGGAGCAATACTAGTCAGTTACTGTACAGCAAGGATTATTGTGGGAGGAGCTGCTGACGTTGTGAGCATGACCACCACCATAGTGACCTCGAAGGAATGTATTATCCGATGGTCCAACCATAAGTGTTCGTTTGGTGTAGATTGACCAGTGACTACAGCAGGTGCTCGAATTAGAATGCGCTGGGGCCACCAGCAACCGTGCAGGTAAAAGCCAGCTAGGCCAAGATAGGCAATAGACTACTGCAACTAGGAAGGGATGGGGCAAAAGGTTAGCCACCGGTCACCCCCTCTTTTTACTCCACTTGGCCTGCCTTAAACATGATAATGATAATAATAATAATCATCATAAGGAAAGGCAGGTATCGTATCGGGTACCTCGAGAGTCGATAAATACCTAATACTTATCTTGTTACAGTAACAGTAACAGCAGCAGCAGCAGCAGCAGCGGTAGTCAAGTCAATATAGTAACTTGCTTACAATGATTTACACTGTGGTACAGTGGTGAGTGGCACATACTAATTAGTATGTTACGATATACCAGGGACTTTCAAGAGAGACCATTTACCAAATACATCATAGGTATTGTCCAGTAAGTCCCTGGATAAGCCCAAACACTTTCCAAAGTAGGGGCGAGAACTGAACAATGCTCCGTACTAGCTCAATGTAGGTATGCTCTATTGGGGATATGTTTTGGGTACAGACTAGTATTGACAATCTACCCGTAAACCCTACAACGCCGTGCCTCCTAGAGATTGGGCCATGCTCCCCCCCCCCTCTTTCCCCCTAAAGGGGCTGTGTGCATGTCACTGGCGTCTTTGGGGCATTTAGCTACCCATATATATCTATATAAAATACTTATATGTAAAAGCCAGTCCCCCTCCCAAATAGTTCCCCGTCATTTACGTCTGACTTGGCCCTGTGCGGACTGGGTGACCTGGAGGCTATGCTACAACACACTGGATGAAGAACCCGTTCCGTATCCCTTCCCATTCCATCACAACAATAACTCTTCCATTCACCTCAGATACCTCATCGGTTGTCATCTGACATAGATCTGGATCCACCGGCTTTGATCTACCCTCACGTCCTTGGGTAGGTCCCTTTGCTAGTGGGGTGGCCTTGCGTGACCCTCCTGTTTCGCAAGAATGAGACCGAAGTGGATTATTATGGTGTGATGGCCTTAACCTTTTCATATATAATGAACCTCCACACCAATTTTCCATCACATCTGCTAGCTCTTCTCACTCTCTTCCCCCACTCGAACAGGAAGTCACTCAATGCTAACCAAAAAGAAAAAGCATTACTAGCAGTAGTAACCATTCTCATTCACGGAACAAGAGGCCGACTAGCAACCCTCAAATATCGCTATCCGAAGCGCATTCGATTACCCTATATTTGGTGACATGTCATCGGGACAACAGTCCCTAGTCCTGTATTGATACTCCACAGCCCATATATACAAAGTTCTTCAACCTTGTCCCCAACGCCATCCCCTTCTGTTGCCTCTTTGTGAGGACCAGCCAACATGGCAACTGAATGGTCGCTTGACTTCTGCCTTGCTTGTGACCGTCAGACCCTAGGGGAACCATATTGCTCCCAAGCCTGCAGGCTGGCTGAGCTGGATACCGTCTCGAAGGAGGCGACAGCACCTCATGCGATCGTGTGTCCACAACCAACTAGGCCCCCCAGACAAGCTGGGCGTTCTGTGACCGGATCTTTCGTAACAACGGGAACGGCGCCGGCGGGATCACCTGGTTCCCAATACCCCAAAAGGGTACTATCGCCATCTTCTTCGCAGACATCACTGTCGTCGGTCAAGAGCAGCTCATCACGGTCCTTCGTGGTAGCAAGTCAATTCAAAAACGAGCTACGGGATTATGCATGCAGCTTCGACCACGTCCGTGACTTGAAAAGACGTTTCGCATCTTAGCGCCCTATGATTACAGCCCTCATAGACATCTATTCCCGAGATCTATTCTCCATGAGCACCATTGTATCGAAGCAATGGTGGCTATTGTGGACAAAACCCACGGACCCCTCGCACTTCAGCAGCCTAATCCAGTATCACCTCCCATTCCCAAGAGAACCGTTCATTGATTGTCATATCTTTTTTTATTGCGAGAGCTATATACCCAGCATTAATTATACCATCAGGCCATCCTGGGCAAAATGCATACCGAAATAAGCCTGCAGTGTGGCATTCGGCTTGAGGAATCACAGAAATCAGTCAGGCATGGAAGGGAAGGGAAGGTAGTGGGAGAGGGAATAAGCAATGACGGGCAAGGGGTGGGATGGGCCAGAGGAGGAAAGTACATAGGGGAGACAGTGATGGAAAGTAAGTAGGACCAGAAATGAAAGTAATACAATGGCATCAAGGTGCCGATCCGCGGCAGATCGGAGCAGAAGCCCGGTTTTATGTCTTTCAATTGCAATCATTGTAAGCTGTCACCGCACGCGTATGGCGACGACATCAAGCATAATCTGCGATAACTCCAACAGGAGTATTGCTGAGCTACAATCCTACATGGTCCACAATTCGGAGGGTTTGAAGAAGATGCCCGGATATAGGGGATCGCTATAGAATACTCAAGCCCGACTGATGTTCCTAGCATCTCCACTGAGGTGAGCATTCTCCCCTTCGTAGTGTACTGAGGTTCAGAGGCACAAGCTAATTACTATACCCAGCTTCCGTCCAGTAAAAAAATCATACACAACATCACATCATTTCTTCACTTCACCCTCCCAATACAGACCATAAATCAGATTTCCCAATTACCGGCCCAGTGCTGTCGCGAGTGCTTTTTCATCTCTTGGAACGAATCGAACCTTATACTTTTGGGGGATTGCCACGAGACTTGCAGGGTCTGAATTGCCCCGAACAGGATGCCAGTCAGTCTCACCAAGTGGCTCGATTCGGAAACCATTTAGTGTGCGCATGAAGACAAGATAGAGTTCACGGTTCGCGAGTAGTGAGCCAGCGCACATGCGATAGCCCATGCCATAGGTGAAAAGAGGAGCGTCTGGTTGCTCGAGCCATCTTTCTGGCCGGAACTCCTCGGGGTCGCTCCAGACTTCGGGGTCTACGTGATGATGCATTAGCCGCTAATTGCAAAGTATTACGATCGTTCATCGAGCGACAACCTACCCATGTTGCAGGCCCAGGAGTTCAAGAAGAATACTGTGCCCTTAGGGATCACTATTCCATTGTACACCACGTCTCTAATCGAAGTCCGGGGAAGCGCGAGACGAAGGACTGTAAAATACCTATATATAACCACTTAGCGTACCGGAACTCTGAGCTTGGGGTCCAGTTCTCAAGCTGTACCTTAGGCATTCTCTAACCAGGGCTGCAACGTAGGCACATTTCTGATCATCCATGGGATCGCACAAGGGCTGGTCATGCCCATACATATCTTGTATCGCGGTTGCGGCCTTCTCCTGGATATCAGGCCGCTGGGAAAGAAGGCCAATACTCCAAGCCACAAGGGTCGTGACCGTGTCGAGACCTCCAGAAAGCATGGTCAAGCTGATTGATATGAGCTCTTCGGAGTTCAGTTTGGCCTCTTTGTCGAGAATAACGTTTGCCTGGATGCATGGTTTATGAATGCCTTTCTCCATGCGGTCATCCAAGTCTCGGTTTAGAGCGGTGAGATACCGATCACGTCGATCCCTCATTTCTTTGGCAACTTTTGAGTTGCTATTGAAGGGGTTTAGTCGTAAAAGAGGAATGTAGTCCTGCAGGTTGCCAGTGGTGCTTCTGAACTTGCTGATCTCTTCCTCGACGTGTGTGATCTCGGCAAATAGGTCTTCTTCTTGAGAGGCCACACGTACGCCCCAATTGAGAGTCAAGGACAAACTCAAGCTTAGACGCTGGATCATTGGCATAGGATCCACTGGATTTTCGCCACCATTTCCATACCTGTAGAGCTCATCCACGAAAGATCTGGACTCGACATCTAGGTGCGAGATGTATGATTCCACAGAAGGACGATTGAGGGCTGAAGCGGCACCTTTTCTGCGTCTCTTAAGTGACTCACTATATGGGGAAGTCCCGATTGTTGTGCCAGCAGTATTTGATACAATCTGATGCATGATTGTGAGCTATAACCCACTGACAAAGGAAAGAAATGGAGGCAACAATAGAGAAAGCCTAGTGAAGCATGCTGCCTGGAGCTTACCTTGTGGAAAGTATAGAATTCCGGTCTTGAACTCAGAGCTTGTGCATTATGTCCAAAAAGAACTTTTGCCGCCGCCGCCGAATTCACGACAACAACTGGAATATTTCCTAGCTGGATTTGATAAACGGGGCCGTGCGTTTTAGACCATATGCGATATTGTTCGGCGGCATTTTTTCGGATTTGAGCAAGGTTTCCGATCAGAGGAAGACCACGGGGGCCTTTAAGACCAGGTACTCGGGCGGAAGCTCGAATAAATTCGTTAATGATAATATAGACAATTGGGACAATGAAGGCGGATGCAGCCAATGACTGCAACGGAGATTCGAGAATGCTTTGCTGCAAGAATGAAAGAACTGCTGCGACGGCCATGATGGACGAACTGTGTTTCTTGCTCGGTGATATAGTAGCCAAGTAGATAAGGAAGATGTTAAGCTGACGCTGGGCAGGTCGACTGAATATAACGCAGCATCATATGCCCTGGTGCACATGTGATACGTCCTGGAGTCGCCATCCCTCCCCTCTCACAGGAAGGAACATTTCCGTCACCAGGAAGTGAGGGACATTGGTTAGCTAACTTAGTTCTACCCCAGGTTCCGGTGTCCAAAAACCTGGGGGTGGGGGGTCAGGGGAGGAGTGGAAGCAACCGAGAAGATTCCGCAGCCGGAACGTTTCCGCTTCTCAAGGTCAATACAGTCGATATACTCTATATCCCTTAAGACATGGACCTCGGTTGCTGCCATGGTAGTTTAGGCATAGATCTGGCCTTCCTTTGTACCAACTGCGGTATATACTTACTAGTAGTTATTACTTAACTTTGATATCGGAGGTTGGCCGTGATTATACTTGTCCATATAAAGCAGAATGTACCGCCACGCAGTGGGCGGCCTAGCATTCCCAAGCCATTGTTTTGTCATTTTAAGTCTTATACAAGTTCATTTCAGAGCATGAGAGGACAGTGTTTTGACTGAATATACTACTACTTCTTATCAATTGTAGGTTTGAGGATATGAGTTAGTATATCTTCCTTATCTTCTTCCCTCACCCCTTTCTTCACTTTTCTTTCTCTAATCTCATTGGCTGCCTTCTTCTCTAATGCTCGCATCTATTTGCCTTTATCTCCACAAGAATTGGACAGCTTTTTCTTTGTCCACAACATTTCAAAGGTGTATTTCTTGATAAGAAACATCGTCTTATATGATGCCAAGAAAAAAAGAAGGAAAAAAAGGGGAAAAAGTATAGGTTGATATGAGTACGGTCATGTGCTTCAGAAGAAAGGAAAAATTAACTGGAATACCGGATGATTGATGGTGTGGCTTTAAGTACGGAGTTGCTACTGACCGATGAAGAAGGGACAGGGTCTATTGAAGACTAGACTGCATGAATCCTCCTTGGCAGCGGGAGTTATTTGCGGAGACAAAAATAAATGCAGTGGGTGTGAGATATCTAGTAGTCTACTACTACTAGTCTATTTACTTTCTACTTATGCACAGACAAATGCGACGGCCTTTGACCCACTCTCCAAGCCGATCGGGAAAATCAGGTGGATGTTTGGGTTGGTAAACTGGCTGACCGGTCGCATTGAATCACTGCGCGCTCCACCAAAAGAATTGGAAGAGGGGTACCAGAGCGGAGGATTCTATCATGATCGACACGAAAAGCTGGATGGAAGGGAAAGCATGGTCACAGTACAAGACTGATCTAGTCGGGTACGGAGTTTAGACACCGTCAAGTCCTGGGAAGGTTGACGTAGGGCGGTGGGACTCGCACTCGCATAGCAGGTGAAATATATCTCTAGTTTATGTACACCCCCAACCAAGAAATCAAGTCCCGCTTGCTTCCATGGAAGAGCGAGGGAAGCGCATTCATCTCCAAGGTGCCTACTTACCCGAGCGCATCCACCAAAATATTAGGGATTACGCCATTCAGGTGGGGAGTGTGTGACCACCGGCGACGCTACTAATCGATGCCCAGTTGTCCACAGTACATCAATCAAAAAAGTATACTTGATCACATAATACTTCAATGTTACTAAAAAGTCCTTTAGATAACTATCAAAGTATGTATGAGTATATGTACAGTATGTAACCCGCTCAGGGTCTGGGCTGGGCTGGGCAAGTGGAGAAAATGAACCCCGATAAACAAGGACACTTAACCCTTTCTTTGTTGACTGCTGTACTTAGACAACGATGAATGATCATTATCATTCACTCCTTCACTTCCCCTTTCCTGTCTTAGTATATAGAAAGCATCGCATAAAGAGGAACACTGTATAGATAATAAGCCAAGTGAGCAGTTAGCACGACCAAATCTTATATGCATTGATTGATATTATCCTTCTCCCATACTTCCGCTTTGCAGTACGAAGCAATAACTAGCAGGTAGTATGTATATATGCTGTTATGTTATGTGGCACCTACTGTATGTATTGTACACATATAAGCGTTGAGATCCAACCAGGGATGATCATTGTGCCAGACAGAAGACTTTAGACAGGTCTAGGTATCCTAGAATAGACAGAAGATCCGCAATGAAAACGTGGATAGGTCGCGTGATTTCCAAAAACACTAGTTTGACTTACCTAGATAGGTAGTCCGCACTGCGAATGATTGTACTAATCCTGATCCCCCGTTCCTAAGTAGGTGCTCCATTAGTAACCCCAGGCCAATTCCTTTCTTCTTTTCTATTCTTTTCATTTCTGCTTTTACCTTTAAAAAAGAGTATTCATTGTATATATCTTTCTGTGCAATAAGTGAATAAATAAGAAATAAATGAATGATCTAAAATTAAAGTCTAAGGGAATCAACTGATAGCTACTCCGCCCTCCGCAATTTCAGACTATGGAGAAGAGGGAAGAAAAAAAAGGGGAGTAGGT